CACAGCGCTTTTACCCCTTTATTGCACACAAAGGAAGGCGAGGTAGGAGCCSAAGGAGCTCATGCTGCACACGATGGCATTTAACATTTAGCTTTCATGTATCCAGCCATCCAGAGTGTCTTGCACAAGAGATGCATGATCTTCCTTTCAGTGACAGACAATCAGGGCTCCTGCAAAGGCTTTCCCAGTGTCACATACAATCAGCCAGTGCTGAGCGCCCGTTGCTTGTGCCCTGGTTCATCGTGTGCTATTGTACTCATGGGGTTTTTTTTTCTCTCTCCCCAGTTAAATATTCAGTCCTGGAAACGCAGTCAGCAGAACCACCAAAACAAGACAGTGCGAAGATATAAAGTGTGACCCAGGGCTAGAAAATAATCAGTCAGCAGCAACAGAGGTCTTACATGCTTGTAATTTAGCTTTTAATTTAATTTTACTCCAAAGCTATTTAATGTGTATTTAGGCTTGAACTGGCTTTTTATTGCTCTAGGCTTTAGGGTTGGACTGGTAGCATGTGTTTATTTTTTGTGAAGAGGTTTATGTTTACATCGAAGTAGTATTGTAGGGTTGGTGCGCAGTTGTATGGAAATCCACAGAAGGTGCTTCAGCYGTGTCAGTGTTCAGGAGTTTACAGGAATGAGGACAGCAAAGTGCCTGTAAATAGCAATCCAAAGGYAAACCTGCAGAGCCCTCTGCAAGGCGCCTCCAGCCACCTTCTGGCTCGGGGCACATCATTCCCAATGTCTGGGACAACGCTGCACATTGCCCGAGGGAGGATTGCCATCCTTGGAGTAGCTACACCTGAAAATGTGCCTATGGTGGGTGCTGTGTGGGGCCCTGGGCTCAGACAGGGTTACATCTGTAACCCACTGCTCCCGAGCCACYAGTTGAGGATTCTTCACCACCACCRCCACCCAGCGCTGGGCTTCCTAACCAAACCAAAGGACCTGATCTTCACACCAAGTCACAAATACAGCTGATAGCAGTGCGTGCAATGCTCRCTTTTAGCAAATACCACTTGAATGCTCCACTGTGCTCAGAATGTGAGCCGAAGTGATAGTTTGTCTCTGTGACTTGAGATACCGACATTGTTGCCACAATTAAAGCTGTGTTTGTTTGGATGCTTTCAAGGACAGGTTCAGATCTCAGTCACACTAACGCAAGTGACAAATTTAACCACAAAGAAAACAAAGCAGGTATCTGTCAAGACCTGTAATGCTCAGTACCACAACAGAAGTCAAGCTTAACAAGATGCCGTTCCTTCCTTCTCCTTTTATCAGCAACAGTTGGGAGTGCTCCCAGGCACCCAGAGGCAGGAAAAGGATTTAAGCTTCATTCTTGTGTCACCGACTAACCTTTCAGAAAGGCAGAATCTCCTGAGAGGATGAATCCTCCATCACTGTCCTGCATGGGGTTCTGCAGCTGCCTGGGAGTGCTGCTCAGCAGGACACTGGGCTGCGCTGGGACAGTGCACACACAGCCCCTGCAACGCTGCCGAACCCTGCCTGGACCTGACCTTCACTGTCTGGCAAGAATTTAGATTTCTAATCCCTCCCCAGCCTTTTTGACTGCTGCTGAAATGTGGATAACTGCCACTTTCCAATACATTTGTCCAAATCRGTGATTGCTTAAAAAGCATGCTCTCAAGTGAAGGAAATTTCCCTTTATGTGGTGTAAGAGGTACTCACTATTTATACACAAACCCAAAATGTGAGCATTTTGTACTGGTTTGCCAATTCTGTATTTTATGAATGTGTATTAAGAAAACGGAGCCCTTCAGTATGATGTATAAATTCACAGCTTTCAGCTAGACATGACTTCCAGAAGGCCTTGCCAGGAGGTGAATCAGCCCAGGAGCATTGCTGCCTAACAGCTCCATTTGGAAGGGAATTGCCTAGTAACTTGGTTAAGTATTTTGCAATAGCTGCACAATTCTTTATGCTCTTTTTAACACTTGCATTTTAAAGCCTTATACTAGCTCTGGCAGAACAGCTACTGTGGTTTATAAGGTGCCTCACAACTATTCAGAACACTTAGGCTACAACAGTGCTACTCTGAACTGCTGCTGCTTTGTTTTATGAATGTGTTTGGAATTGGAAAGAAGTATTTAATTAYTGGCTCAGATAATGGAAGCATAGGAAACAGAGATGGGATGTGCTCTGCATACTCCCAGAGAAAGATTTTCATGGAGGAAGTGTGGTGTGCAGAACTTGGATCAGCAGCTCAGGTGCCAGCTAAGCCATGCAGCTGAGTTTGTGTGTCTCCGTCCCAAGCACCAGCACTTGTTTTTTGCTCTTACCCAAACACATTTGAAAGCTGTAGCATGAAATGTGTTTTCTGGAAGTTGYTGTAGCTGAAGCGTTCCCACATGGCACTGGTGATTGCTAGAAGCTGTTTTCCCAGCATGGAGTCAGTGCCCACAATTCCACCTCTCCCTTTGCCAGTGACTGTGTTCTTGCAGGTGCAGATTGTGGGTTTTACCCTGCCCTCCCTGTCTGACCAGAGCAGAGTGCAATGGGCAGAGTGCTTTGAAGACCACACACCTGCCCCTTCTTTGGGGAGCTCTTACAGTAGGGCTCAGAGGAAGCACAAGTCTAATTCAAAATACTGCAGCCCATTTTTTTTTTTTCTTTTAATTTTTTTTTTAAACTCAGCAAGCTGTTTCACTGGAAAACAGACCCCARTTTTTGGGACTCAGAAGCCGCTCCTTTGCCCAAGGCTCTTCTCTGACTTTACTGGATASTTACACCCTAGTGTAACGTGTAGGTATGTGGAAATCCATAAATGTACAGTGAAAGAGAATACTCACAAAGTGAATAGTGACAGAATTCAAGATTTCTTTCTCTAAGATTTCAAATAAGAAAATACTTCAAAGTCCTGCAGTAGAGAAATTTGACTTGGTCTTCTCTTCAAAACTGGACAAAAGTAGTCAGAGTCTTAGTGGTCAGCAAAGGCTCAAATGATGTTTTGTTGCTGTCTGTCCCCTCTTCCATCCGAACTGCCAGACCAGAGAGACAGGCAGTTCATATGTCATCTGTATTTTAGGCATTCTAGCAACTGAGAGGTTTTCTGTGTATTTTCCTAGAAGTGATCTGAGTTCTGCAACAGTTGACCCAGCATTGATCTCTACTTTCATTTAATTACTATCTATTCACTTTAAATCTGGATATGGATTTTTAAAAAATTCTGCATTTAAGCTCTGTATACATGGCATGAACTTTGTTGTCCTTTATAAAAAAGGATATAAACCACTAGAAAATGGGTTTTCTTTTTTTTCACAAGTCCAAAACCTATATACACAGATGCCCTGAGAGCTTCTGTACTACGTGTGCTGTGAGCTTTTTCTTACGACACCTCACTTCTAAAGCTGTTCTGAATGGCAATAAAATGATTCAGAAAAGGTTTGTCAAAGGTTTGACGGAGAAAAGAGAGAACTGAAAGAGTTCAGCTGGCTTTTTCCTGTTTATTCTTTCAATTACTTGCATTTTCCTTTGGCAGTACTTCATTTCAGATTCTTCAGCTGACAATACTCTGACATGAATTTCAGATCTTTTTGGCACTATAAACTCAGTCATTTTCATGCAACCCCACTAACGAACCCTTACAAGTGCTCCATTGTCATCCTTAACTACTCATTTGTTGTGATAAAAGTGGAATTAGTCCATAATACCATTTCAGATTCTGAAAAAGAAGGATGAGTCGGCAGGCTGAGGCTTTAAAAACTGCTTCTGCAACAGATGAGGTTCAGGGACAAATGAAGTTCAGAAACAACGGGGTTGTGAAATTAGAGAACCTTTTCTTTTGAGTGATGTTCTAACTTAGAAGCAAGACAGATTCCTTGCTGAACAAGTGACCTGTACCAAATGAAGGTTGAATGTTACTCTGTAAGAAAATGCATTTTTGTTAATGTGCATGTAAGGGTCATGGGAGTAAAAACCAGAATTTAACTACCTTTGGAAAACACCAAATAAACCAAGTTGATTAGAAAGACATTTTAGACTTGGGGTTTTTTTGGTGGGTTTTTTCATGTTGGAAGTAAACTGCAAGTGGTTTGCTATATCCTTATGGTGKATCACCTCTTCTGTAACTACTGAAGACTATTTAAAAAAAAAAAGAAACAAACTGGACTTTGTGAGAAAACAAATCCCATTATGAAAACTGTAATGGTAAAAATGAAGTATTTGTGCACACACACACTCTCTCTCCTCAGCACCTAAACTCCAGGCARTGCCCAAGGTTTCCTGCMSTTTTCTTTACATTTTCACACCCAGYAGATAAATCTCCCATGCAGTGCAAACTAAGCTTTGTATAATGATGCAATGCTTAGTCTCACAGTCAAAAAAAGGTGGTTTATATTTTAAACTTACTGCTTCTGATGCGTGTTTCTTGTAGAAATACTCCTTCTTCCCAACTGCACAAGATCTGGCAGTTAAAAGCTATCGATACCCTCTCAGCATAGCAGATGTGGTCTCTCAGTAAATGGACATCCCTTTTTTTTACCATAAATGTTTCACCTGGGGAATAGTCTGAATTACCCATTTGACGGTGTCCTCTGTTGTGAGGCTTAGTGCACACGAATGAGAGCTCTTGGTTCCTTGTTTTCAGYGCATAGAGAACCAGCTGCTCTTGGTGTTACCACACACAGCACATGAATTAGTACAGCTTCTCTTGGAAAATGAAAACAGTGAAATGCTTCTTGTTTAAAGCTTTAACTCCTTGAGAAGGCTGCCTCTGCAGGGAACAACCAGGCAGATAGGAGTGTTTTCCAGCTTTAAAAGCCTTCTTCCATTTTAATGAAACAAAAAAAAATACTTTTATCTACAAAGGGGAAGGAAGTGTAAATTCAGCTCTGAAACAGGACAGGCGAAGTGTCTGACACTGATGATTCACTTAAYGTACTTCACAAGTGAAAAATGTGTCAGCTGGTTACCAAGACTTCATCCCCTTCTGGGACACTGGATTCAGGTTGTGCCCTCTCTCACGTATCATTGACAATAGAAAAATCCTACAAGCCAAATGCAACTGCTGTCTTTGCACATTCCCTTTATACTGAGTCAAAACCAAAAACCAAAGCAGAAGATCCAGCTTTTGAACAGAAGTTAATAGCTCTGTCCAAGGTGCATCAGAGAACAGGGTCCTGCTCTTCCCTATACTAGTTCAGTATTGCCTTACTGAAAAATAAAAAATAAKGATAGAATCAGTTGTTAAATCAACAGGAAAAAATCTGATTATCAGGACACAGACTGAATACAACAACAATCATCTCTTCAGTGTAAAGCTATACTCTTAACTAGCACATATGAGCTACAGTACACCTTTGAATATTTCCATGCTAAATATGTACAAACCCATCCATTGGGCTGACACATGGAACAGCAGGACCCTCCCCCAGAGCTCTCCCTGCACATCAGAGGCTCGCTGAGCTGTGCTGAAACTGGTGGATACACAGGCACTGAGCTGAAATAACTGGTGTTCTTCTATGCAAAACCAAATTCTCAGAGTTTAGCTCTAGAAATCTAAGCCTTAAAATCTCAGACTGCCCAAGCTAATCCAGTCATCGCTTTTGCAATAATTATACAGAAAATGTTGTGATTATTAGCACAAACATAGAGAAAAACTTCAAAAGATTTTCTTTAGCACTGCATTTTGGAGATAATGTGCTTTACTTTAATATACAGTTTAAATGTCAAGGAAATCTGAAGTACGGAAGAGTTTAATGCAATACCAGCTCAACATATTTTGGCAATGTAAAATTCACTGCTGGCACACTGTTCAGCAGAACCATTTGTACAGGAAAAGCTATTTCCTCTATTTATAAAAAGCCTGGGGTTGATTAAGAGATGCAACATTGCAAGCCTTCCTAAAYTGTGTTTGTGTAGGTGAATCTTTATTATGGAAAAGCATTCACTACAGTAAAAAGGACATGTTGAAATACCCTGCATTGCACAGTAAAGGTGTAAGACTGAAAACAGCACTTCAGCCTCTGCAGCTGAAGGTGGGAAGGTGCTCAGCAGCTCACTTGACTCATTAACTACGTGCTGGAAGAGTTAATGCACAGAATGAGACACAGAAAAGCGCCGTTGTGTATCGGCAACAAATGTGCAGCAACAAATGAATACTCACAGTCAGTAAGACCCACAGTCACCACACAGAATCAATTGGCTCTTAAGAATGGGCCTTAATTCCCACCAGCAGAACCCCAAGTAATACAAGCACGAGTCAAAAAGCAGAGCTGCAATATTTAAGTTTCCTAAGGAGAAGAACCAGATTTTCAGGAAACACAGCAAGTAAAACAATCCAGGGAAAATTTGCAGCATGCACCATTTCTAGGCCTTCCAAGAATGCCAGTGAATAATTTGATAAAAGGAGGAATGTGATAGTAATCAAATCTCTCCAATGTGAGTATTTTTGGGGGGAGATGTGAGAAAGGTGGGAATGTATATTTAACATGAAAACACAGTTAAATTATTCATTTACAGAAAAAAATGCTAGTAGGAAATTAAAAAACAAAAAGCCAAGAGGCTTTATTTCAAGAAAACCAATTAAAATCATATTRTTCAAAAACTTTGTCAAACAAAGTCATTGCAAGTTAAGGTCCTCAAAAGGGTTTGGACAGGCAGGATCCATTTTCTGGTCGTACAGCTTAAACCCACGGGAGGATGCATATGTTCAACATCACATACACATGGGTATGAACGCACACAGCTTTGCATTTCGTGTGTACACTTAGAAACAACACACACTTCACAATGTGGAGCTATACAGACTATACAATTTACACAGCTGGGTGTCATTCCAACCCCAAATATTACCATTTGCTAGAAAACAAACTTTTACTTTGTACAAGACCTTGACATGAGCAAGTTTATCCCTCACTCAGGAGGCTAAAACTGAACAATAAGCTAAACAGTCAAAAGACTTTATTTCAACTTGTACAAAAGGCATTAAAAAACCTAAAATACATGCTTTACCAAATATATTACATCATACAAGTCAGTGTGGTGTACTTGATATATCCAGCTCGACTTCATCCACTTTTAATGGCATATTTAGTTCAAAATGTAAAACTGACTACACTGGAAAACATTTATTTTAAAATCAATTTCCAAGTGCATTATCTAAAAAAAATAAATTGCTCTAGCAAAAAAAAATATATATATTACTGAGTGAAATAAGGAGCTCCCATTCAGAAAAACATTTTGTGTTCTGTGTAAGCATCATGTGGCATTTCATCTGATTCTCTCAACCAGGCATGATACTCTAGACAATGTGAGAGGCATTCTTCTGTCTGCTTGGCAGATGGATTCCTTTTTAGGATGGTTAAATTGTTAGTTGCTCAAAACAAAGTTTAATTTCACAATTGGTGCTTTAGCTAGAGTGTCAAAACACGTGTGGGAACTGCCAACAAGAAAATACATCACATCTATTGAAGCTCTTTTTGGCCTCATTGTGATAATATCAGACACAGAGTAAGGCATGTAGATMATAGCAATTACAAGTCACTCACAATCCTTTTGTGATGGGAAAAGCATTTCACCTCCTCTGTTTTTACCTGACACGGATTTTTTCACATGGCTTTTGTTACACATCACACAGAGGTGTGCACTGGCGTGGCAGAATGGGAAGGAGAGGAGCCTCTGTCAGAGGAGGAGGAAATGGAACGCGTGGCAGCCTCCCGCTGCAAATCCTCCACCTTCTTCTGCAGCTCTGTCCGGATGGCCARGAGCTCTTTGAGATTTTGGTGGATTGGAACCTGCCAGGTAAAGAAAGAAAAGGCTTACTTTGACTCTCAGAGTGAGTTATCTTTTCCAGCAATGCTTCTGCTGTTGTCTTCAGTGACAAGGAAATCAAAACCTGTCAATTTCAGTACATCAATATTTAGGAAARGTGTTTCTTTAGTAATTTGAAATGAAAGATTTCAGGAAACTATCCCTTTCTAACAACACAGTTGGCAGGGAACCTATCCAAAAGTGTTTGGAAATAGTTTTGATGGGATACCAAATATACTCCAGTAAATGTACCTGTATCCCTTCTCAATACCATTTTCAGCTGAACTCAAAATGCCTTTCCTGGGAATGATTTCTCCGGCCTCTCGGGGCAGGACTTACTTTACAAAGAGCACTGAGTTCACAAAGCTGCTTCCATATGGAGCATCTTGTTACTCTTCTAACCAGGCATCTTTCCAAGAGTCTGACCCCTTCCAGCAAGAAAAGAGCAACAGCCAAGTGAATGGTGCTTGGACCTCCCAGAGTCACACTCCAATAAACCTTTCACAGAAGTGCATTGTACAGATTTCTGCTTCTGACAGTACCCAACAAACACCAGAGATGCATCCCTTCTCAGCCCTTCAYATTCATCTGAAACATTCAACTATTTCATGGCCAAAGGAAGATTCAAGCCACAGTGTTTTGCAGCTGGATTTGGTATCTCAGACAAGCAGAGRGAACCCTCCCCCTCTTCCAAATTCCACAACAAGGCCAAAAAAGTTTTACTGTAAGTTGCTTTTAATTTATTTTATCCTGTATAAACTCTAATTGTTTATAGCTTTTGGAAAGAGCAAGATGGGAAAAGAATTTAATTGCACTGAAGCAACAATCATGGGGAAATGCAGCACTGGGAGACCTATGGATTGTTAGATGAGTAATTTATACCCTGGGCTTCAGGAATGCCARGCTCCAGGGAGCTGCATTCACCCACTATCACTTTCCACTGCTTAGCAGTGACTGCCACGGCTGGGATGCACACCTGAGCATGCTGCTGCTGTGTGCAGGAAATAGTTATCAATGCACAACTGAGTCACAATTTACATTTTTGTGAATTCTTGCTCTTTAAAGAACATACATGCAAAATCCATGCATTCGATACTGATATTTTCAAAACCTAACACAGAAAAATACCATTTAAATTTCAAGTTTTGTTCTAACGTAAAACAATAAAATASTACCAGCAGTCCTTTTATGTCTACAATTCTTTGGCCATATAGTTTTTCCTTGTTTTTGAAGTAGCCTATAAACACAAACTTCTGCGTATTCAGAAAGTGCTGCTCCCAGTATCCTGGGAGTCATCAATTCATCCAGCATTGTCATCTGCAGCAATTTTAAAAATGTAATTCTGGGAGTTTCAGCAGAACAATCACACACCACCAGCTCACAATGACCATGGAGCCCTGCCCTYGCTGTGCAAGGAATTCCCTCCCTGGCAGCTTTACCCTGCATCCTCTATACAAACTCTTCAGCATGTGAGGCCACAAACAGACAGATCTTCACTAATAAACACAAAGCACACCCTTCACAAAGCCAATCTCATTATTCTGAGTGGACTTCAGAGTGTATGCACCTAGAAACATGGCAAAACTCAGTCTGCTAATGAAGTTTGTCCAAGATGCTGTAATACACACTGTGGAGAATTCAAATTTTTGTAAAGATTGAGACTTTCTGGAATTGGTACCCCCTGTATTTATTTTCCTAAATAAAAGATCCCTTTCTCACAGACCCCTACCTTAGATTTCTTTATGAAGATGTTTTCCTGAAACACTTAGGTCCCTAACAGTGATTTCCCATGGGAATCATCAGTCACACAAGTCACGGCAGATCTGTACACCTGATTTGTGCACAGCTTCATCACAACTCAGCAAACCAGGCCAATTTCTCTCAGCCACATTTCACACAGGCATCAGCTGCTGCATTCCACKGCACAGAGCTCAAAAACAGCTCCATACAAACAGCTTTTGGGGGACCTACTACAAATCCTTTCAGGATACACCACACAAAGGACACTGCACAGCTTGGCTCTGTCAAGTGCTTTGAGGAGGAAAAGTGTGGCTGCACCTCTCAGTCCCCCTGCATGCCCAGAGCCCAATTCAACAGGCACACACACTGATTTTGACGCAAGTGCTGTTCTCCCCACAGGTCCAGCCTGAAAAGCAGATCAGACTTTAAATAAATTAGCTAAATAACAACAATGATGTTAAAAAGTCTGTGTATATTCAAGTCACATACGAAACTCTTCAACATTAAGGTTGCAAAATTATGCTCTCAAAGAATTAGGAGGTATCAGATGAAGATTACTTGTCCAAACTCAATTCAGCTATCCTGCACATCTGTGTAGAATTATTGGTCAAATAATATTAAAATATTAGCTTCCCCCTTGTATTCCTCATTTACTCAGTGCACAGGCTGATGCTACTTAATTAATGAGAAGYTATTCAATATTTAGTTTTCTTTGCAGTGACTAACTCCATCTTTTATTTATTCTTCTGAATTTAAAATGCTAAAGTTTCCTTTTCTGTACTTTCATCTCATGTCAAGAAACAAATTTATTTCTGCAACACCCTAATGAGGTATGGGAGTATTAACACTCTACTTTTACAAACAAGGATCTGAAGCCAGCACGTCCTTATTTTGCATACCTTGGATCTCAAATTGGTTTAATGGAGAACTTGGGAATTCTGCAGTTGGGGCACGTGGGTATCAAACAGAACACTCAGTAAATAAGGAGCACACACAGAGTGACCACCCTGCTCCAGGTGAGCTCCCCTACAACAGAGGAATCCTGTGGCAGAGGCAGGGAGAWACTTCAWTTCTCCAGAGCAGCATTATCTCCTTCTCCCAGGGGACACCTCCTCTGCCTGCAGCCATGTCCCCTCCAGCCCACCKTCCCAGACTCTGTTTCATGGGTTGAACAGAAAGCAAACACCTCCAGCACCTGGAGCATTACTCACTCCTAGTTCCTATTCCCAGTTACTCACAACTCTCTCATAGGCTCTGTATAAAATCCACCTCTCAGTCCTTTTATTTATTCTCAGTTCTTGAGAATTCAGTGAGATTACTGCAGCCTCAGACCTTCAAACTGGATGAGTTTCTTACAAGGATATTAGCATGTTTCTGAAATATAATCTAATCTCTWACTAAAATCCCATGTTTGCCCTAGAGATGGAACATTTCTAGAAAAAACAGCCCCTCGCCCCAACAGAAGTCCACAAGACYAGTATTTTCATATGGGAAAACATTTTTCTTAGTCACATTCCCACAAGCAACTGAGCCTTCTTGGATGAAGTTCTACAAAACAATTCAGTCAGACACACATACTTGGGRACTCAATACAGATCACTAGAGCCCAGTAAAGCTGTAAGCAAGGCAGAGTGGGATCTTATAGTAGGGAAAAAAAGGGTCACCTTCAAAATACTGGCCATCTTTTAATAAGGGCACATTAGATGTAAACACTGCAAGACAGCTCCACACAAATATCATCATGCCATTTACTCTGGTAGTGCAAACACAACAGRTYTTCTGATAYCAYGCCTTTCCCAGCTAAAGATTATTTYTGATTGCCATTAATACAGCATMCTGTAGATGCACACTGAYATTAAACAATAAAATTTCAGAAATAGGTTTCACACATTAAAACTTTCAATACATCCTTGAATTTCATGAAATAACATGCCAAATTCAGTCTAGAAAATCTCAAGCAGCTCAATTTTCAAGAAGCTGGTAACAGCAAAGTTTTTAGTGAAAATGATTCATGTTAAAATTACATACTCATGGGCCAAGGTGGTATAGGCAGCTGAAGTATTAAAGAAGTTCTTTTCTTACAAAAAGATYTAAAAAGCAACATGGCAAGAGAAGCCATGCTCTTCTACGGATGTCTTCAATTCTGTTACTGTAACTGCTCTTTTCTGGGAAAAAAACAGCAAATTCAAATGCAAAAGAATAAAAATACAGAGCAAAAAGGCAGAAAAATGCCCAAAACAAAGCCTCGACCTTAAGTTATGGATTTGGGGGTCTTTTTTTTTTTTTTTAACAAAACCATTAAGAGAGCCAAATAAAACTGGAGTTAATGCAGCTTTCTGGAATCCTCCTTCCATCTGAGACAGAGGAAGAAGAGTAAAAGGATGATGTATCATGAAATACATTGTCAGGGAAACCACTGAAATTAAATAGTTCATTTCCACACTTCCTAAAGACGTATTCCCAGGCAGACATGTTGCTGTCAATGTATCCTCAAACCATCCTGCACAAATTCTTWCAGATAACCACCTCCATTTTTGTCACTTCACCCCATTCCATTTCATCACAAGATCCTTCTCTGAAACAAAACCTTCTCCAGAAGGAAATGGGTCCAACAACCTTCACAATAACACCTGTAATGGCTTGCTGTGAACAAGGCTCTCCTTCATTTTGCCACTCTTTAGAACAAAAGGAAGTGGAAGAGTGACAGATTCTCTAAGGAACAAGAAGTTTGAAGAAGATGGTTTATTAAAAGATCTTGTTACCACCTTAACCCTAGAAGTGTGTACTGGCACAACACAAGTAGTGTCTCCAAGGCAAGCTTTTATTATTGTCTTGTTAAGAAATCATGTAATTGGTTTGCCTGAGATGAATTTATCGGGAGGCTGACAGCAACTGTACTGTTTTCTACTCTCTCATCCTGCCTCTCRAATTAGGAGTGGAAGCTCAAAGGATGACTCTGGACCTATCACCCAGCTGCATTCAAGTTATTTTTGCTGCTCCAGTCCACAGATTTTCAGCAGTGTGTATCCTTTCCTTTGTCACACCAGTGTCCCCACAGTGATGCTGCCAGGCAACACTCAGCTTCTACAGCCAGGTCCATMATTTCTGTCCATAACCCAGCTAAAAGCACAGAGCTATTTCTGCTGCATGACAGGAGCTCACACAGATGAAATCTGACCCAGCAGTGCATCTACAGTTTGGCTGGGCTGGAAAATTGCCTGGGCCAATGGATGTTTTTCATGTG